CTATCTAAATATATTTCAATTCACCTGTTGCTCCAATAATGCACTTTGCCTTGTAAATATTCCATTTTTGTTCAGAATTTAATTCTTAGTTTATTATTTAGTTTTTTGTAGTTCACTTATATTGAAAGACCATTTTTAAATCTTTGCATTCCCCTCTCCCTCCCACTATGTATTCAAGTATGCATCCCCACCATTTAGCACAAAGCACTTGGCCTGAAGGAGGCACTTAATGAGGCCTACAAAATTACTAGTCAGACTACTATGACCCAGCCCTGGCTGTGCCACAGACTCAAGGTATGGACCTAAGGCAAATCACTCACCCTTAGTTAACTCATCTGTATAATGGGGAGATTAGTTGCCTCCTGCCTGCCTCACAAGAAAGTTTTGAAAAATAATGAGGCCAAGTGCTTTGAACTCTCTTGAAGGTGGGTGCTATGGAAGTGTAAACTGTTATTACTCTTAATCAGGGTTACTCCCTACATTGGCACCTTTTGGTAAAGGCAGTTTACTGGGGAAAACTAAAGTCCCTTTTAAAATTTTCATTTACATATTTTTGGTTATTAAAACATTTCTATTGAAAGAAACAGCTCTGCTACTTACTAGCTTCATGACTTTGGGCAAATTACTTACAGCTTCTTCAACTGTACAATGGGGAGGACAACACTTGCACTACTACCTATCTCAAGGACTGTTGTGAAGAATATATTTTGTAAACCATAAAGGGTTAAATAAATCCGAGCTATTTGTAATGTTTTATAAGTCGAAACCATGGATTCAATTCACCAATTTACTATAAGCCTTATTGTTTTTAAAGCCCAAAGGTAAAGCTTGCACTCTGGATACTGCAATGGTATTTGTCATATTCTAAAAGTCATAGGGGGCAACAGTCCCGAAGCAGTTAAGCCTCACTACATATCCCATCCTACTCATCTTATGCCTGGCCTATTGAAATACCCTTCTGGTTGGTCTCCCTGTCTCATCTTTCTCCACTCTAGTTCATCCTCCAGTCTGATCAGCAACCAAACTGATCTTCCTTAAAGGGCAAATCTGACTGTGTCAAACTCTACTGGCTCATTATTTCCTGGATCAAATATAAAATTATCTGTTTGGCTTTTAAAGACCTTAGCAATCTGGCCCCTTCCTGCCTTCCCAGTCATCTTACATTTTACTCCCTTCCATACCTGGTCTCCTTACTGCAGATAGAACCAGCACCTCCATCTCCCTAATTTGCATATTTTCACTGGCTGTTTTACATGCCTGGAATTCTCTCCCTCCCTATGCCTCCTGGCTTCCTTTGGTGAGAAATGAAAGAGTTAAGTTCCCACATAAGTAGATAAGAAATCAGCACAGACAGGCTAACTTCTCCGTCCAGGGGTGGGAGTGATAACACAATTCTAGGCACATAATGTATGTTAAGGGTGGGGCATATAAGGAAGATTGTAACCCAGAAGGATTAGGACCAATCCTGATCCAGAAGGGAGGAATTAGGCAATTATTAACTATAAAGCTTGCTCTGGCTTCTTTTACTCTCAAACTTCTCCCCTTCCAAGGAGGTGTGCCTGCTTCTCTCGAGAATCGAAAGGACTTACTTCAACCTCTTTAATAAAAAGTCTTTGAGACACCAGTCTTCCGGAACTGAGTCTGGGGTCATCTTTATAATAATTCAAGTCTCATCTTCTGCGTGCAGGAAGCCTTTCCTGATCCTTCTTAATGCCAGTGCCTTCCCTCTGAGATTACCTCCAAAATATCGTGTGAAATCTTGTATATAGTTGTTTGCACGTCCCACTAGAAGAATGTGACCTCTGTCAACCTTCTAAGCAGGCAGCATGCATGGGACCCAGTTTGGAACTGGGTTCACTTTGGGGTCAGGCTGCACAGTTTATATGTCCTTCCAACAGGGGCTGATGTCCGTCCATCAATGTTTCACCTCTGGACAGGAAAAAAAAATATCTCCATACCAGACCATTCTCAGTCTTGGGCTGTCTAAACAAAAGAATCTGTCTCCACCCAAACTTGAGTAGAACACAAGGGACTTCCCTACTTTAGATTAAATTATTTGCAAGCTTGGATGTGGACTGTCAATGCATCTCATCATCAGTAATGTCCAGAAGAAAACTGAACCTAAAGTCAGAACTTTGGAAGAAGGGAGGTGAGGAATGGGAAGAAGTTGTGAATCTCCAAGATAGTGGTTATTTAATAATCATTTTTCACACCTCCCAGAGGGAAGGGAATTTCTTGCCTCTCTTTGTACCCTCCAGCACCTAGCATGGTAACTGACACATAGTGTTTATTAAATGCTTGTTGATTTAACTCCATTTCTCATTATCTCTCCTACAGTCCCAGAGCTGTGGCTGTTGGTTGGTTGGTTGTTGTCCTTCGTTCTCAAAGAGGACCAAAGTGACATCGCTATGCCAGAGTCAAGTTATAGTGTGTCTGACTGGGGCTGACCACACCAATTCGAGCTAGGAATGCTCTACCGCAGGTTGGGCACAAATAGTCCATGTGAACATCTAGAGTGGATTCTCTAAATTTACGCATCTCATGTTTCTTTTGAACTGCTTCAATTCTGCTTTGCTCATTGAACATAACACATTCTTTGATGAGGGCATGCCATGCTGAGCAGTCTTATGCCAGTGTCTCTCATGTCACACAATTCCAAAGTTCTTAAGAGAGACCTTGAGAGTGTCCTTGTACAGTTTCTTCTGATCACCATGTGAACACTTGCCCTGTGTGAGTTTTCCATAAAATAGTCTTTTTGGCAAGCTTATTTTTGCATTCCAACAGTCAGCCCATTGGAGTTTCACTCTCTGAAGTAGAATTTGAATGCTTGGCAGTTTAGTTACAGAAAGAACCTCAGTGTCTGTCCTGCCAGGTGATCTTCAGAATCTTCCTAAGACAATTCAAATGGAAGCAATTCAGACAGCATGCTTGCCCTCATTCTGGATAATGAACAGGGCTCTCCTGCTTTCCCAGTCACCACTGGGGTGTAACAAGGCTGTGTGCTTGCTCTCATGCTTTTTAACATGATGCTCTCAGTCATGTTGTCAAATGCCTTCAATGAGGATGAACACAGCATCAAGGTCAGAGCTGTGACATGCAATCCAAAGGAACAGCTGTCAGGAGGGTCCAGTTTTACTTCTGCCACTAAAGCAAGGTATGACCTCAGGTAAATCATTTCCTCTTTCTAGAGCTCATTTTCTTAGTGTACAAAATAAAGGGACTGGACTAGACGATTTCTAAGATTCTACTGCTTTTTGCGTTTTGTTGACTTTCTTTGTATCCCCATAGCTTAGCACAGTGCCTGACACACTGTAGGTGCTTTTAAGTGCTTGTTGACTTGATTTGACTCCAACGTTCCTGCTAATTGGAAAGTTCTAATATGAAGCACATCACACTGGCCAGTTCTTAAATCCTTGCTTCTGCCATTCCCACCATCTGAAATTCCCCCCCCCCCCCCCCCCAAAAAAGCTTCATTTCAAGATTTTCTTCCTGGACCAATCAGGCCTCGCCCAGGGCCCTTTATTCCTGCAACCTCCGCCCCCCTCCCCTCATCTGCCTCGGGCTTTTCCCAGTACTGAATAGGCTGATGTCAACCTCACTACCGTTGGGATGGTTGTTAATGTGGTTTACAATTTGGTCACTTCTGTTGATGTTCCACCTTAATGCTAGTGCTTTCCCTCTGTTGATTATCTCCAATTTATCCTGTATATTTCTTCTTGGTACATAGGTCATTGCAAATTGTCTCCCCCAATAGACTACAATTCCTTGAGAGCAAGGGACTGTCTTCTACCTTTCTCTGTATCCTCAAACACTTAGCATAGTGCGTAGCATACAGTAGCGCATAATGCATGTTTAATGACTGATGGCTATTTATTCCTTCCTATTCTATCTTCCTTCTTCAAACTTGGGGTTCTCGGAAAGAAGGCTCCCCGAGTCTCCCGTCTCATCCCAGGAGCTACTCTGAGGCAGAGTCGGTGCCCTCCCCCAGCAGACTGAGGCTTCTCCCAGGACAGGGACTGAGTCTCCCTCTTTACCCCAGTAACTCCCCAAGATTAAAGAATGGAGTCGTCCTTAACTTCTTGGTTCACAGGACGATTCTCCCTAACTCCCCAACTTCTATTTACGTTTTCCCACTGCTCACAAGCAGACACCGGAAGTCCCGCCGCCTGTAACTTCTCTGAGCGTCGATTGGCCAGGCCACCCACGCGGCTTCTGATAGGATGACTGCAAATGACTACAATTCCCAGTGAGCAATGCGCCTCGCTCTTCCCCGGTGCCTCACGAGAGAAGGAAATTTGGCGGTCTGATGGGATCTGTAGTTTTCCCGCAGGGGAGGGCGTCTTCCTACGTCGAGGGCCATTCCTCCCCCAGCAGTCGCAGTGGGAAGCTTGTGCAAAGAAGAAAAAAAAACAAACAAAAAACCCTAGCGTCGCAAGTTTCTAATTGGTCTCCTAGTGGGAATGGGTGAGGAGAGGGAGGAGCGTACTAAGTAGGCTGGGCGGGCTCGGGCGGGTTGTGATGGAGGGCTCAGCGGGCCAATGGCTCGTGGAGGATGGGTGGCGAGCGACCAATCGGGACTCCTAGAAGGCGGAGCATGGAGCCTGTGGGCTAGAGCTGGCCGAGGAGGGGGGCGGGGCGGCGGGTCTCTGTGGCAGTGGCTGCTGGAAGCTGTGGCGGCCCTGGAACTGCTTCATCGCCGCGTTTGAACCGGCTCCTGAGCCGTCCTGGAGACACTCCGCCCAGCCTTCCCCGGGTGCTCAGTCCTGCTTGGCCCCCTCCCGGCGGGACCCCCCCACCTCTCCACCCTTCGCGCCGTGAGGGGGCGGCCCCCACCCAGTCAGCCCGCGCTCGGCCCCGGACTCGCGTTGGGGCGGCGGCCGCCTGGGGAGGGAAGGAAGCCGGCGCGGGCCTGAGAGGAGGTGGCGACATCGACGGTGGGCCAGGCCGGGTCGGGCCGGGCTGCGCCTCGGGGCTCTCCCGAGGAGGAAGAGCAGGTGCTTCTCGGCGGAGGCTGCCTTACAGCCCCCACAGCCGCCGGTCCGCCTCAGGGAAAAGGACTCAGAAGCCCACCTCCCTACCGGGGTCCTGACTCTCCCCCCACCCCATCTCGTGGGCCCTTCCGCGCTCCGGGAACCTCGGACTCGAGGGGCACGGGGCTCTGGGGGAAGGGACCGCGGCTGGTGGAAGGGAAGCGCAGAGGTGGGGTGGGGATGAACAATGAGCTGGGGGGTGGGGGACACAGCTGCAGGAAGATGGGCATGAATTTAAATTATTTATTTTATCGATCGGGGAGGCCAAATCTTAGCAGATCCCGTGTCTTTGTATTTGAGGACTCCCCCCCCCCAAAAAAGCTAAGGAGAGCAAAGACCTGAGACAAGGGAAGAGGGAACCTCATGAGAGAGTGTAAAGAGGGTGGATAAGACCTGCCTAGTAATGGTTTGGATTGTGTCTTCTCTGATGCTCTAGATTGTTTTTGTTCTGTATAGAGGTATTTTTATATATATATATACACACACATATACATATATACACACACACACATATATACACACTTACATATAGGAAGTATTTAACATATGTATATGTATTATATATATATAGGCTCCTGTCCTGTTTGAATCATTTCAGGGACAATCCCTTTTTTAAGAAGGAGAGGGAGCAGTGAAAGTGAAAACCTGAAATACAGGCTAATAAATTTGATTGCTCTTCTTGCCCTTCTTGTGGTCACCTTTACCTCCCTCAACTTCACCCTTCTTAGTAAAGAGAACAGCATCTTATACAGGACTCTCAGGCCATATGTTGGGTTTGGTGGTTTGGTAAAACATATTTGTGGTGCTCCATTAAGGATATTAATAACTTAGTTGGCATCTTCTTTTATGTCAGGATGGAGGAGTGTTTTTACCAGGAAAATCAATGATGGAAGGTGAACAGGACAGAGAGTTCATTTTGAGAGGGTGAAGCTTTCCTGTACTTTCACCCTCCCTCTTCAACAACACCAACCCCCTCAGGGGATCATCTCTCAGAGATTGGAAGCTGGAACCTGTGCTCTTGTGTCACTGTGGCTGCATGTTTAGTATGCAGATCCTGCCTCTTCGCTAATGAGAGGGAGAATGGGGACCCAGGGCAGCCCTGTGAAGAGCTATGATTATCTGCTCAAATTCCTGCTGGTAGGAGACAGTGATGTTGGAAAGGGAGAAATCCTGGAGAGCCTTCAAGATGGAGCATCTGAATCCCCCTACGCCTACAGCAATGGTAAGGACTTGGGGAAGGGGGAGGATTAGTCAAACTGCACTGCAGTAGTAATTAGGGAGTATAAAAACAGTAAGATAAATTTAGTTTCTGCTCAGGTTACAGCTCCAGATCTACTCGATCTTGGCATAGATTTTTGTTTTGTAGCCATCCAGGAAGCTGCTTCAGCTATCAGGGACTAGAATTAGATTGTCTTCCTGAGTTTTTTTTTTTTTTTAAACCCTTTCTTTCCTAAGGATCCCTTCAAAAGTAAATTCTAATCCAAACTTTGTATCTTGACTCAGTCCTTAAGCATCAGGCTTGGTACACACTAGGTGTTTAATGTATATTAAATTTAATTACAACCTTGCCTTCATCCCAGACACTATGTATCTGTATCCCACAATAGACTTTCAATTCAGGAAAATTACTTTTTATTTTAGTGTTGTGTACTCCAAATATGCTAGTAAGGGATGTAATCAGGGAATCAATAAAACCATTTGGTTCCTGCTTTGTAGTACCAGCTAATATGTAGGGTGTTCCAAAAGACTTTGGGACACGTTGTATAATCAGTCCTCTAAAAGTAGGTCCCATCTAAAGCTATTATGGCTTTTCTTTTGTACATTAATACAAGCTTAATCTGTCTACTTCCTTCGAAATCAAGCTTTATAATGGAAACTGTGACAGACCATTTACTATAGCTTTGAAGACTATAATTAAGAGCTGATAATTGGTACTGCCTTTTTCCTTCATCCCTTCACTGTAGTTAAAATGTAACACTTTCAAGAAGGGTGTGGGATCTGTGACAATTTGCAATCTGTTCCCATCTTTTGTCATTTTAAAGTAAGGTCCCTAGCCTTGTAGAGAGGTTGAATACAGCTAGAGCTTAGAGCAAACTACATTCTTGAACATAACAGTTTGAGTCCCTTTCAAGTATTCAGTAATATGGTGGTGTAGATTTTGCTTGAAGTATTCTTTTGGGAAGCAGAAGGTGGATTTTAAAGTCCCCCATTAAATACCTCTACTGAACTGCCCAGTGGACTTCTAGGTTCCACAAAGATGGGCTGAAGGGACTTGAGAAAAAAAAGAGAATGGTTAGATGGATGGTAAGGGGTATGAGTGTGTCAGGTGGAATTTCATCTTGTGTCAGTCATCTGATTGTGGCCCAGGCTCTATGGTAGTCCTATTGTCAGTCCATTAGTTAGGGTCATATGACATGGTTGTGGCAGGGTGTAGATCTAGTTGTCAACATATTGTTGTTGGGTGTGTTTTTGATACAGAAGACAGATGGATACAGGCAAACTGTTCCCATCAGGTGTGAAAATACTTAGTGTTCAGGAAATCAGCCTGCTGTGCCATGAGTAAAATGCTTCCTATCTTGGTATTTTTAGCATTTTTTTTTTTTAGACAAGATTTCACGGCTAGGAAATGTTTGAAATGAAATGTGGTCCGGTGGAAGGAGCATAGGATTTGAAATCAGAGGACATGGGTTAGAATCTTGATTTTACTGGATTTGGGCAAGTTACTTAATGTCTCGTGGCTTCAGTTTCCCTATTTATAAAATGAGGAGTTCTGACTATGTGATTGGAGTCCCTTCTAGCCCTAAATTTTATGAATGAATAAATTCATTAATTCAATCACTGCTTGTCCTCCCTCTTAATTTAAGTATTTAAAAATACTTAGTGAAAGCTAGTTAATATCCTCAGTGAAACTCAGAATAACCAGTAACACTTGGAGTGTGTACATTATCCCAATGACTATGCAATTATGTTGACTTAGCTTATAAGTTAGTATTGAATCTTCCCAAACACAGGTTTTTTGTGTGTTCTAAAAATACTGTTTTATTGAAAAAATTTTTAATTTTTCCAATCTACCTTTTTTCTTATTTTGTTTCTTAAGGGTTTGTGGTTTGTTTTTTCAGTCAGTCTTTTATGAGCATTTATGGCATTGGCTATTTGCTAATTTGTTGGCCTTCAAATAACAGATTATATTGCCTGCTGCTTCTTCATTCCTAAAATTTTAATAGTCATCAAGGTTTTGGGTTTGACTGTACTGGAGTTAAATATCTCTCTTCCTGCTATAGGTTCAATAGGGGACTGAAGCAACAGATTTCCTTTGAGGAGTCTACAGAAAATATATTCTTAAACCTAACCTGGAGGAAACACTTTGGAGGATAAGAAGGGAAATAATTTTTTTCTGATTTAATCAGCTTAAGTTTTTTGTTTTTTTTAGGTGGGAGGAAGTAGTATTAGGACTACTGAGAAGTTCCTCAGAAAACTTGGCAGAGTCCCAGTTGAGATCCTCAGTCCATGAAATTAACTGCTAATTAATTAAAATGTAAATTTATGATATGTTCTTCATGTTCAAAGGTGATGCTACTGATTCAGACAGTAGGATTTATGCTTTTGAGTGTTTTTCCCAGTGGTGGCCTATGAAGTGAATGATTTTTTCACTGATAGGACAGGGGCCCAAGGTTATGGGTTTTCTTTCTGGCCGTGAGATAGAGATAATAGAATCTTAGCTGTATTGGAAATCTAAGAGCTCATCATACATTCCAACCTGAGCGTGGATCTTCCCTGCAACATATTGTTTTTCTATTTTATTTGTTCTTTTAGGAATAAGACCCTCAATCTTAACTTCATTGACACCATACTTTAGCTATAAAACTAACTAGATCTGACAGAATTTAGGATTTCTAGCTAATAAGTTTTTTCAACCCCTTAACTCATTTAGCCTTCCTCATTTGTCTTTTTTTTGTTTACGTTGTAAGCCCAATTACCACACTTCCTATGAAACCCTAAACTGAAATGTGGAAAGGATCTTGTGTAAAATTTACAGATCTGCCCAAAGTAATAGTAAAGAACAAAAAAAAGAGTAAATGTTTTCAGTCTTTTCCAACAGGAAAGTTGCCTGTATTGGAAAAGGTAAAAAGAGCCTGCAGCGTTGCAACAAATTGATGACTATCTTGTGGACGGGTAGCATATGCCATTCTTTAATGTTGGTCTCCTTGTTGGCACATAGCAGAAAAGACAGAGATATGAAATGGCATGGAGGCAGATCTTCCCTTATACTGTGGGCTCCATGAGCTGAGTTAGAAGGTATAGTATGGGGCAACTGCTGCTGCTGTTGCCACTGGAAAAATTGAAGACCTAGGTTAACTGTATTCCAGTATTTATAAGGACGTCTGCTTTGTATTCTGTTACTTTTTAGCTGTCTGTCTGGAAGCATGGGAACAGTCTAATTCTCAGGGTTCCACCCAAGATGACTGGCAGCCTTTGAGGGAGGTGTGCCACACTGGTGTGAATACAGGCCACACCTTTTCTGGAGATTAGGCTTGTAGAAAACCTGAGAGCCACTTATACGTGATATTTTTCTGTGTATGTGTAGTCTTTCAAAGAGATTCTGTGTAGGGGTATGGTCTTCATTAAGGCATGGCTTATATTTGGATCAATACAGTATTTTCTAGGAAGCCTTATTTTCTTGTTACCTTTTTAAGAGGTCTTTGTTTATGTTGCTTTCTTTCCTTTGTCCATTGGCTGAAAAACTGAGTGGGGTGAGAGTTTGTTCCATATTATGCTGTATTTCTTTTCTCTTGTCGATTGAAGAGAGTGCTTATGTTGTAGTGGTAAAATTGTCTAATACTCACAAACAATATGTGACCCTCAACAAGTCACTTAAATCTCTAAGCTTCAGTCTTATTATGTGTAAAATGTAATAATGCATGTGATAGAATCACAACAAGATTGTTTTGAGGCTGAAATGAAATAATATATGTATTTGCATGATTTTTTTTTTTTTTTTGTGCTTTTTGGTGAGGCAGTTAGGATTAGGTAACTTGCCCAGGGTCACACAGCTACAAGTGTCGGGTGGCCGAGGCCAGATTTGAACTTAGGTCCTCCTGACTCCAAGGCTGGAGCCTTATCCACTGTACCACCTAGCTGCCCCTGTTTGTATGATTTTTAAACCTTAAAGCATTATACTGGGAATCCTAAAGGTCTTAGTGTTGTATTAAACTATTAAAGCTCAATACTGCACTAAGATTTTTGGGACATTCCATGTGACTGTCAACTCATTGTTATAGAATTGAACTAAATTTCTCTCAATTTGAGACTTTAAGTATCTTTGTGTGTATTGTAGTTTGTTGTATTGTCTTAGGAGAACTTAGGAAGTAGTACAAAATTGTGGAGAAAAGGACTTGAAGTTCCTGCCAAAGAATATCCAACTTCAAAGTTTTATTCCATGCCCTTGAACACCTGTTATTTCTTCAGTATTGCCATAACTACCTCACTACTGCCACCGTGCTATCAGAACAGTTAAGAGTGAGCAGGGCAAGAAAGCTCAGAATACTTTTCTAGGTTTCTTCTTTTGGTGTGTAAACATATACTGTGCCCTCCCATCCAGGGAGCAAAAGGCAACCAGGAAGATTCTTGACTTCTCTGAAAGGTGTGGCAAACAGTCTGTTAAGTGCTGCTCTTAAAACCAATCCTTTTTCTTTTATTGCAGTAGGATAACTTTTATAAATTGAACCTTGTCTAGCTTGTTTATTCAGACAGGTAGGCATGCAAGCATGTTTTGATCTCTCCTGCTTCACAAATGCATGAGTCACTTTGATCATCCTCTTTAGAACCTGAAGCAATGACGTGCAAATAGGGGTCTGATATCTAGGTAAGGTTGGAGAATAAAGTTTTTCATGGGAACTTCCTGTAAAATGACATAGTAGAAAGAAACTAAGGGAGCCAGCTCTGCCCGAATACCCTCAACAGAGTGGAATAACTATTCATTCCAGTACTCTTCCACTACACACATACCCCAAAAGAAAAAAAAGAAAAAAAAATTTTGAAAACTCTCCTGTTGTAGTTTCTGCCTGTGGAGCCAGGCTGCTCCAGAGTCCCAGAGCTTACAGTGACCTTGCCACCTCTAGCCCTGGTGCTGAAAGAAGGTGAGTAACTTGAGCAGGGTCACAAACTGTTAGTGAGTGTCTCAAATGAGATTCAAACTCAGGTTATCCAGACTCCATTGCATCA